TGTAGCGGTATACCCTCGTCATCCGGGCAGTTGATTAGGGCGGTCGTCAACGGGCCGCAGACGCGGCTGCAGCAGCGACCGCGTGCGTAGGAACTATTTGCTTTTTCCGGCCTAATTTAGTCATTTTTCCCTACTTTTCACTGTTTTTGGCTGCTTTTTCCAAGATTAGCAGTTCCTTGTCTTCACAAGGTAAATTATAATTGGAATTTTTATAACATTTGCGAACAATTAAACGATTAAACAAACAATTAGACAAATGCCTGAAAAAATCGCGAAAAACACACCATTACGAGAGAAAATAAAAAAGTTCACGAGTTTAAACTTCATATAGATTAACGTAAATAATCTTGAAAAAAATAGGAAATACAGTGAAAATTAGGGAGGAAATTGCTAAATTAGGGTGGAAACAGCTGATCGCCGCGGTCGTGACGCGCTGCAGCCGCGTCGCGACCCCTGGGGTCGGCTGATCAACTGCCCGGATGACGACATAGGTGGCAGCGATATGAAAGGCCTAAGTATCTAAATGACTTGTCCACAGATCATTTCATTTGTCACGCTCCTTCACCTTTCTATTTCGAAACTTAGCTATCCATTCACAATGTGTTAAGGTTGGTGTGATCGTGGGCACAGGAACGAATGCCTGCTACATGGAGAAATTGTGTCGAATTGGAAAACTGGAAGGTGAAATGTGCGAGGACAATTTGCCCGACGAGGTACGGCTTTGATGTTGGAAACGTTCAGGATGTTTTGACAATTACTAGTATTCGTCTGCAGAATCTGAAGATAATGCTCTGATTCGGAAAACAGTGAAAGTACTTGAAGAGTAGTCATGGCAATAGCCTGGGCGTAGTTTCCAGCTACTAAAAAGCAAAGGTGCTCATGAGCATTGAAGAAAACAGAAGGACGTGGCAAATCCCATGTAAGAACATCTACATCTCGGGTCGTATGGGAACAGTGGCATGCCCTCTTAACGCGTGACCAGCAGCGGTCGACGGGCGGGACCCCTTGCGATCGGCGGGACCAGTTAAGTTACGCGAAATATGGAAGACAATGGCCGACCATTGAACAAGTCTGATTTTGTATTCCCACA